GCTGCTGCTGCTGCTGCTGCTGCTGCTGCTGCTGCTGCTGCTGCTGCTGGGCCAGGCTGCTGACAAACTCCTCATGCTGTGTCTTGAGGCTCTGGATCTGCTGCTGGAAGGCCAGCTGCACAGGCTGCACCACTGATGAGTACTCATTAATGAGTGTGGCCTGGTGGGGAGAGGAGCACTACTCAGGACACCAGCCCAAGGCCCCAAGAGCCAAAGGGTATGTGAGATGCAGCCACTGGCTCAGTGATGAAAACACAAACAGTAGGCAGTTTGAAACTTCCTGGTGAGGGATAGTACCAGGTGATGCTCACCTGGTACTGGCCGAGTCCCAGGGCAGGGCTCTGCAGCTGTTGAATGATGGAGTCATCAAAGTAGCCATTCTTCTCCCAGAGCTGTAGGAGCTGGTGCAGAGGGAGACTCTCGTGAGGCAGAGGCTGTGTCGCCCGGCCATCTGCCTGCCTAACCCAGCCCCAGTAGGCCACCTGCCCACTCACCCACAAGTCCAACCAGCCCCATTAGCCCCATACCCGGGCAATCTTCTGCTGCTTGTCCTCCTCCACAGCCAGAAAGCTAGTGCAATAGATGGGCACCACCACCTTCTGCAGGGCAGCCAGCAGCTCCCGGGCCTGCTTGCGCTGGCTGTGAGGGAGAGACCTTCCGCGCATCAGGGCCCTGGGGTGGGACCCGGCCACGCGCCCGTTACCATGCAGCTGTGGCCACAGCACCCTCTCCTCAGGAAAAGGCCTCCACTAACCTGGTAGAGCAATGACTAGACTACCTAGAGTACATATGGCTTTTCTAAGGAGACAGGAGGGAGAATGTGCACTCCAGGGTTATTCAGAACCAAACCTTCACCATCGCAAAGGCCTATCAGAGCACTTGCATGGGTGTAAAGAATAAAATGGGCTGCTGTGGTTGGGACCTGGTTACCACTAGGCACAAACAAGTTCAACAACCTGCTCAGGAGGGATTCCCCAGGCCCACTGAGAAGGCTACCTGAAGCCTAACCACCCATGAGGTTTGTGGTCAGCCCAGGGCACAGGATTTGCCTGCCAAGTTCAAGCCCTGGGTTCCATGCCCAGTGCTGCTGAGGGGATAAAGGGGCAGAAACAGCCCAAGAAGGGCCCTCCAGCTGTGCAGTCTGGTGGATCCAGGCCTCTGGGGTGGAAGTGGCTCAGCAAGACAGCCCATATGCAGACCCAGGGAAGGTGCAGACACAGGCTAGCAGCTTCAGCTACCACAGCTGAGGTCAAAGGGCAGCAAGGGCTGGCTAGGAGCTGAGAAAGGGAAGGCAGTGTAGACCAGGACTTTGTGTGAGCCTAGATGAGGAGTGTCCTAGGGGACAGAGGGGGACAGAGGCTCTACCCTAAGAGGCAGGAGCAAGCGACTGCAAGAGGAAAGAGGGTATGCAGGAGGGTATAGAAGGCAAAGGCACTGCTCACTTCCCAGCTTGACAGAAATAAGGAGACGAGGCAGGAAGGGGTTGTGCAGAGAGACAGTCAAGAGAGACCAGGTCAGGTTCCATCTTACTTCCTGGCTGGCATGGCTGTATTGAAAGGCAGGGGACAGCCAGCCTAGCTGACGGTCAGTGTGTGTCACTAGCATGGAACCCCTGCACCTGCCTCTGACCAGAATTCTGAGTTCTGCTTTTCTCCATCAATTTCACCTGGTGGCCATGCAGAGACACTGTACCAGGCCCTAGAAGGCTGGGGCCATAGTACAAAGGAGAAGTCTGTTGGGCAGAGCCAGCAAAGGTAGCCCCAAGATACGTCTAAGCAGAGAGGGTCCCCGGAGTGTAGCAGCCAGGTGTCTGGCTGTGCGGAACAGTGGTGGGGAGGGAGGACAGCAGACCAAGGCAGACACATGATGGCTGCCAAAGCAGAGAGGAGGCAGCAGAACCCAAGGCTGACCACCTTGTGGAGGTGCCACCTGCTGTCTTGGGAGGGCAAGCAGTGAACCAGTGTGTGGGTGCAGCCAAGGGTGGGTCGGGGATCAGGTGAGTTGAGAGACCCTTACAGGCATGGGCTATGGACCAAGTGATCAAGTACTCACCAGTGGTGCAACACATCATTGATCAGATAGATGAGGTGCAGCCGCAGCTCGAAGTGTGCTCCATCAGCAGTGATTCGGTTGCGCAGGTGACCTGCCATCAGCTCACAGTGTGGCGGGGACTTGGCATTGCTGAACATCCAGTTCTTCCCAGCCTGAGAGTCAGGCCAGCATGAGTGGGTGCTCAGTCGGGCAGGTAACAATACCCCCACCCCACACTGAGCCTCACCGAGATGGCGTCCTTCGTGCAGGTGTCAATGATAGGCTGTAGCAGGTTGTCAAACTCACTCATGTCCAGCTGTGTCTCCTCCAGCAACTTCTGCATCTGCTGCTCCACTGCATGTGTCACAGCCGCCGTCACTTGCTCCTGGGAAGGCAATGAGGCACAGGCGCTGTGAGCAGGCCCAAACACTCACACACTGGTGTCTGACTTTAGCAGATGCTGAAGCCGGTGACAGTCCATCCTCACAGCAGACAGAGGCAGAGTTGGCCTCAGCTAACAGGGAAAGATGAAGCTGGGGAGGCAGGGTGCTCAAGAATCACCTAAGCAGAACAAGGCAGGGAGTGAGGGTTGATACATGCTGCAGGCGCCTATAATCCTAGCTCTCTGGGAGACTGAGGCAGGAAGGCTATAATTCCAGGGCAGCTTGAGGAGATGCTGTCTCGAAACCAAAACAAACCCAACACAAAGCAACAAATAAATGGCAGGTATTGGCCACAACACTGGTTAAGACTACAGGCCAGTTCTGGTGGTCAAAACCTCACTGTCCAGTCTATGACCGATGGCAAACAACCATGCATATTGTGTGACAGTGATAAGCAAGGAAACCCCGAACGGGGCTGACACTCAACTAGAGTCGCTCCTTTCATTTCTGGTAGCTCATCGCCATAGAATTTGGCAACAGGACCAGCTTAACAGATGGGTCCAACAGGGTCCCTCCCTACGCATTAAGCCTGAGAGGTACCTAGCCAGCAGGTGGTGGCATTCACAGCGGATACAAGTACACCCAACAATGCCTGTGGATGGCCCACAGTCCTACTGGAAGGTGACCCCAGGGTCAATGGCACAAGAAGATGTGGGCACATCCTCAAGTGACGGGCATACCTGGCGCAGGGCCAGCAGATGCTGCTCCTGCTGCTGGAGACTCCACTGGCTCTGCTGGATGAGCTCGTCCATTGATGGGGTGCCCTGGGCTGGAGTGAGAGATGCTGTGGGAGCCAGCGGAGGTTGTGGCAGAGGGGGCATGGCTGTGGCTGGCTCCAGCTCTGGGGTCTGCTGCTTGCAGATAACTAGCAGGAAAGAGATGGGCGCTGTGAGCCCAGGGCCAGTCCAGGTTACCCCTGTGATACACCAGGTTTGGCCTCCAGGCCTGATGGAGGAATGCTAGGTCCACTCTCCACCTCACATGACCAACACAATCATGCTTCCCTCTGTCGGGCTTGGCCTCTCTGGAGACCCCAAGAGCTGCCTTTCACCACATCCTCACCAATGCCACCAGGTCTGTGTCCACTGTCCCTGTGACACAGGCTGAACATGTCCATCTTCCCTTCTTACCCAGGCCTGAGCTACTACAGACTGCAGGCCATGACCTCAGCTGGAGGTATGGCACCTCTCCCAAGAGTGTTTCCCATGCTATGGGTTCCTAATCTCCGCCTTCACTCAAGACATCCAGCATTCTGGAGGTCTGGCCAAGCACACACAGGGCTGGCGTGCATCCAAAGCCTGCCCCACGAACAGCATCCGGAATCTAGCTAGAACCACCAGAAATACCCTGGTATGACATAAGTGTCTGAGGCTGGCATGCTCCCCAGAGCTGGCCAGATGACATACTGGTATGTCTGGAGAGGAGGGTCCTTGCCCACAGGCAGCACTTTAACAATACAGCCTATATTCTCCACTTCTAGGCCCTACCTGGTCCCAAGCAAATACAGCCACATTCTTTGGGAATCTAAGGCTCGCACAAAAGAAATGGCCTTCAGACAAAAACAAAGAAAGTAGGGGGCCTGGAGGGATGGCCCAGAGGTTAAAAGCACTGGCTGCTTTTCCAATAGGTCCCGAGTTCAATTCCCATCAACCACATGATGGTTCACAACCATCTATAATGAGATCTGGTGTGCCCTTTTTGGTGTGCAGGCAGAACACTGCATAACAAATAAATCTTTAAAAAAAGAAAGAAAAGTAGGGTTCGAGGCAGGTATCGCTTGGGCCTTAGTGGCACCCTACATGTCTGCCTCATTTAAGCTCTAGATCCCACACTCCTTTGGGAAACTTCGCTTTGGAGAAGCCACTGGATGGCTTAGATCTTCACTCACGATACCACTGGGCTTTCACAGGCTTGCACTTCTCAAACTCACTGCACTGCCCAAGTTGTTTTTTTTTTTTTTTTTTTTTTTTTTTGACAAGTTTTGTTTCCTTACTAACCTGGAACTCACTCTGCAGACCATGTTGGCCTTGAACTCAGAGATCTGCCTGCACCTGCTGGGATTAAAGGTGTGTGCCACCACCCATGTGGACCAATCCTTAGCCACAGAGCCTTCAAAGTGTTGTTTTTGAACAGTCTTTGGGTTTAGTGATCAAATACTGAGTTGACCTGAAGCCCTTTCTAAGACCTCTAATTTCCAGGCGGCGTTCATAGCTTCTCAGGAAGCAGGTCTCCATTTCTACTCCATACTTCCACCACCCACTACCCTTTGCCTGCCCAAGACTCTGTTTCCTGTTTGCTCCTGGCTGTCTCTATCATGTTCAGTAGAACCCATTATGGTCTACTTCACAGAATGTCCTCTTGTGTCCCAATCCCCAATCTGCCATATACTCTTTTTTCTACTACAGTATTAGGTCTACAGCCCCAACTGTCCAGGTGGGAAGGATGGGCACGGGCTTCCTGTGTAGCTCTGAGGAATATTTACAGTGAGACACTGTCCACCCTTGCACACACTGTGCTAAGCCTTTCTCAGCCCTCTTGTGGCTCCCTGCTGCTTTAGGACGAATGTGAACATGGTGCTGTGGGGCTAAGGAATGATTTCTCTAAAAATGTATGACGCAGATTTCCTGCTAGTGACAGCAGAGCTGAGCTCTATCTAGAATGAGAGCCTCCAGGCCACCTTCCCTCAGTTCATATTTGTGGTGGCTGTTCTGTGAACATACAGCATCTTGGTGCTCCATGGGCTCAATTCTGTCTGTCAACAAGCTTTCTACCAATCAGCCACATTACACTGCTAGAGCCCAAAAAAGACACTGTGTGTTTGACACCAGATGATTGTTGTCCTATAGCTTTGCAACTGCATTCATTTTCACAGCTTATCCAGAAGCTAGGGAGCTACCTTAAATATGACAGATGTGAGTCTTGCTCTCAGGTCCCATACCATCTCCTGACATGGTACTACTCAAAGCTTGGGTATGCTTGTAATCCCACCACCTGAAAAGCTGATGCAGGAGGTTTGCTTTGAGTTGGAAGCTAGCCTGGGTAACACTGCTAGGCTAACTTGGGCCACAGTGTGGGGACCCTCAAAGACCAGCTGTGCTTCCTAACTGTCTTTTCTCCCTTTAGGTTTTTGAGGCAGGGTCTCTGTAGCCTGGGCTGTGGAACATGTAGATCAGGCTGGCCTCAAACTCACGAAGATCCACCTGCCTCTGCCTTCTGAGTGTTGGGATTAAAGAATGATCCATCATGCCTGGCTCTAAAATTTTTATTTCTATTTTTTTTTTTTTTATCATGCTTTCCTTGATGCTCACCTTAGACATTTAAACATAGTAAGTGTGGGCGAGGTGGTGCATGTCTTTAATCCCAACACTCGGGAGGCAGAGGCAGAGAGATCTCTGTGAGTTCAAAGCCAGTCTAGTCTAGAAAGCTAGCTACAGGTCAGGGCTACACAGAGAAATCCTGCTCGAAAGCCATTAAAAATAAAGAAAGATGTTGCAGAAACTAAAGGGAAAGCTTTTGATTTGAGCGTTCAGATGCACAGAAACTTCTGGCCTCAACCTGCTCAAGGGGTTGCACCATTTCTGCCGCAGACACAGCCTCTGGGCTTCCACCTTCCTGCAGAGCCTTCATTCCCTCTGCAAAGACAATCCAGGTATTCCCAACCCGAAGTCCTGAAAGTGAATCTGTGAGTCTCCTTATGACACACAGGGCAAGCAGTCTATCTTGGTACAGGGCCCCGGGAACGACAGAAGGAACAGTGGACGCAGCTGCCCAGCTTTGTAGAGGAAACAGCATGCGACTCCAAGGAAAGTGGCTGCGGCCAGGGCCCGACTGGACCCCGAGGCGGCCGAGGGCCTGAGGGACTCACGCTGCTGCTGCTCCAGAGCCAGCTTGCACTTGTAGTAACTGTAGAACTCGCCTCCGAAAAGAAACGAGAATTTAGGGTTGTCCTTCTGCTTCTCCATCGTCATTTTCTCGAACTCGGGCCCGTTGCGAGCCACGAACTGAGCGAGCTTGTCGATGACATTTCGAAGCTCCTGGTCTGCAGGACGGAGGAAAAGGCGTCAGTGGGGGCAGCGCGACCTGGGGACCGGGTTGGGGTCCTCTGGGGCGGGCCTCGGCTAGGCGGCGGTGTACGGGTCCTGACTAGGGCCAAGCGCGCGCCAGGAATGCGGGGTCCCACGGGAGAGGCCGAGGGAGGAGCGGCGAGGCCGCAGCGCACTCTGCCACCGGCCCGGGAAAGCGGAGAGGCACGGTCGGCCGGCGGGTGCACGCGGGAAGAACCCAACGACCTCCGCTCTAGGCTGGGCCTCACCGTCTGGCGGCAGCGGCATCTCCATGGCTGCAGCCGCTGGAAACGTCCTCCGCCGCCTCACGATAGCTCACCAGCACCGGCCGCAGAAGCCGGCCGGAAGTAGCGCGAAGGAAGACGTTTACGACAGCCTCGCGGGCTGCTTCGGTGCGCCATTTACGGCTGTCGCCTGGAAACCCCGGAAGTGAGAGCTGGAGGAGGGCGGGAAGAGGCTGCGTGAGGAACCACGCGCCCGACGGGCTGGCGAGGCGCATGCGCGGAAACTTCCTGCTGCTTACGCTTGTCGCGGTGGAGTGTGGGGAGCGGCACAGGCCAGAGTTTGGTTGTCTGGCCTTGCGAGACAAGGCTGTGTCCTTGCGAGCTTGTGTGCTAGCTGTCTCCTGCGTCTTTCGCAGCCTTTTGCACCATCCAGGAGGCGGGATTGGCGAATCACACGCTGCAGATCAGGCCCTTCCGTTCCCATCTGTGTCTTTTGGGTAAGAATTTTGAGCGTCAGGGCTCCCGGCTTCCCAACGTCGGTCTCAGACACAGAAGTGGAGCAAAGACATGTCTTCTAAAGCGACCACAAAGGCACGTGCTGACCTAGGGAAGGAGAACCGGAAGCAGCCGCGACAGCCAGCTCGTTTGTTTACTTATTATTTGCTTATGATTTTTGGATATAGCTGTAACTCCCCATATAAAGGGAAGTGATCTTGCACTCCCCATCCTCCTCTCGGCTTATCAGTACTGCGATGACAGCCGTGTTCCACCACCATGCCGTGCTTATGGGATGCTGGGGATGGAAGGCAGGGCTGGGTGCAAGTTACCATCGGCCTTTAAAATAAAGACAGTGGTGGTGCACACCTTAAATCTCAGCACTTGGAAGGCAGTGGCAAGGAGATCTTGAGTTCGAGGCCAGTCTGATCTACAGAATGAGTTCAGGAAAGCCAGGGCTACACAGAGAAACCCTGTCTCGAAAACAAACAAAAACCAAACATTTTATGGTGGGTTTGTGCATGTGACTTCAGTGCCTGCAGAAGCTGGAAGAAGGCAAAGTATCTCTTGGAGCTGTGTGCCAACAGCTGTGGCATGATTATTTTGTTGTTGTTTGTTTTGTTTTTTGGCATTTGTGCTGGCCACCAAAGCCCTTAATGAATCTCTGAGTCTCCCAGGATCTCCTGCTTTTCCTAGTTCTATTGCCCTGTTGGGTACCTCAGCTGCTGGAAGCTTCACACCAAGATTGTAGGAGGAGGAAGGATGCAGTTGAACCTGGGAGGGATCCTGACACTCTTGAGATTCCCAGTGCCCTTCCAGGCACTGCTGTGAAAGCCCTTTATGGTGTCCTGCTCTTTGAGCTGCAGAAATAGCTTACTGGTGATGTGCTTGGCATGGGAGCAGGATGACCTGATCTCAGATCCAAGAACTTGATATAAAGGCCAGACAACAATAACGTAGGGCTGTAATCGCAAAAGAATGTTGTAATCCTGCAGGGCCTGCTTGTGTGGCTCACAATAAATAGGAGTCTGCACCTGCTCAACCCATCTCCCTCATTCTCACCTGAGATTGTTCCAGAAGATTCTTGATGATGCTGTGAGATCTCCTTGCAGAACTTAGTAACTTCCCTGACAAAGCTCAGTCCACACTGTCTTTGATTCTTCAGCTCCCAGGCTGCCCCAGCCCTCATCTTGTTGTCCTAACCTGCAAGGCTGATGGGTCACATCATGGACAGTGGCACTCCTGGGTCACAACTCTGACTCAAGCATGTGTCTACTCAGCACTCTGCTTGGACCAGGGGTCTGGGCCAAACTAACTTACTGGTAAAACCAACTCCCCCACCTTTCCTTCAGCTGCCCCTGAGCTCCCTAGATCATCTCCTGACTCAGTTTACCCAGCCTTATCTCCATGACAGTGGGTGAGATGTGGGCCACTGAACACCACTTTCAGTATTAACCCCTTTTCATCCCCTCAGTAGGGACAGTCAAGTATCCTGGTTTAAAGCAACAGAAGTGAGGAAGGTGTTCTGGAGATGGCTCAGCCGTTTTTAGAATACTGGCTATTCTATAAGACCCTGGTTTGAGACCCATCACCTGCATTTGCAGCCTACAAGTGTTACTCCAATTCCAGGGCATCTGATCCCATCTTCTGGCCTCCGTAAGCACTGCATGCACATTGTGTACATACAAGCATAAAGTCAAAACACAAAGTTCAAAAGCAACAGGAGAGCCAGGTGGTGGTAGCACATACCTTCAATCCCTGCATTCAGGCAGGGCCAGACAGAGCTCTGAGTTCCGGGCCAGCCTAATCTATAAAGCCAATTCCAGGACAGCCAGAGCTGTCACACAGAGAAACCCTATCTCAGAAACGGAAAGCAATGAGAGCTCTGGCCAGTGGGACACCAGAAAGTGAGTATTTAAAAAAGTTGATTATATGTTATTTACTGTTGAGGGAAGTGCACCTGCCTTGGCCCATGTATGGAAGTGAGAGGACAACTGAGCCATGGGTGGCTTCCTACCATGGGAGGAGAGTGTCCCCACATTGAAGTCGGGCTGTTAAAGCTTGGCAGCATTTGCCTTTCCCCACAGCCACCTCACCAGCCTGCTCCACACATCCACTACAGCCTCTGCACAGGGCCTTGCCTCTGCAGAGCTGGGGTTAAAGGCAGGTGGCTGGCTCTCTGCTACTCATTTTCCAACACATACTGTCCTTGCCTCCCTTACAACTCTGGGCGACTAGGTTCTGCTTAGGGAAGCTTGCCCCTCACACACCTTCCCCTTGTTCCTTTGCCCTTCTCCATAAGTGACCCAGCCTCCTAATAAGCCCCTTTGGGCTGAATGCATCCCCATTCACTGAGGCTGATACCAAAGCTTTGAAACATGGGTCCCCTCACTGTGCCAGCTGTTCTTACTGCTTATAGAGTGCCCCAAAATACAGAGGAAACTAAACAGCCAGGAATCACAGGGCTTTGGTGCTTGCCTAGCATGTGTATAACCCCTAAAATCACAGGGTGTGGTGTCAGTTCAGTGCTCAGCACACAGGTATCCGAAGCAGGAGATACACAGTAGGTTCAAAGCTAGCCTTAGCTCCACAAGGCCTTTCTTAACAAAAGGGAGTGATGAGATGGCTTTGGGGTAAAGGCACTTGCTGCCAAGTCTGGAACTCAGCCTTGCTCCAGGTTCAGTGAGAAATATTGTCTCAGGGAAATAATGTGGAGACTGAGGTAGCGCAGTACAACCAATGTCCTCTGAACACATGGCTTTTTCGTGTATTTATGGGTGTAACACACAGAAGTTATCTCAAAGCCCAGTGGAGCATCAACTACTCCCTGCCCCTTCCATTTCCCAGTAATGACTCCTGGGCTTTTCTGAGGGAATACTCATCTGCTGGACAAGTGAGTACATTTGTCCCTGTCCTTGAAGCCGTGAGGCTGACTTGTTCCCTGGGGTACTACTTTGCTGCTGATCCAGCAAAGAATATACTTCTTGCTGTTAGCAGGATGTGAATCTACCAGGGGTGGGGAAGAAAAAAAAAAAAAGCCTAGTGCCATGATGAACAGCCTGTAATCCCAGCACTCACGGAGGTAGAGGTTGGCCATTCTCTGCATTCGAGGCCAGCCTGGTCTACAAAGCAAGTCCAGGACAGCCAGGGCTACACAGAGAAACCCTGTCTCTGGGAGAAAAAGAAAAAAGGTGTGACTCTAATCCACTATTGCCCTGGGATGAGCTGTGAGGATGACACTGGAGAATTACCAAGAGTTCAAAGCTAGCCTGGACAGTGAGATGAATGGGTGCAGTGATGAACAACTGTGATGTTAATGCCAACCACAGCTTGGTACAATATAGAATGACCTGGGATGAGGCTAGGGGTCGAGCTTGTGGGGGGATCTTGATGAAGATAACTGACTGGAAGATTAAACTGCTCTGTCGAGACCATTCCCTGGACTGAATAAAAAACAAGCTGGGTCCTGTCCTTCAAGTAAGATACTCATACCTCAGTGAGTCAGGCCCCACCATCCAGCTGTGATGCAGACAAGCCACCCCGAATTTCATGGGTTGAAGGCAACCCATCTGCATGTTTGAGTCTTCTAATACTTGTGGATGGAAACTTTAGAGGCTATTGGATGAGGTCGTAGATGTTAGTTTCCCCACCTTTGGTGCAATGGCTTTTATTTATTTTACTTCTGAAACAAACAGCCTCATTATTGTAGCCTAGACTGTTGTGGCAGTTGTGCTTCAGCTTCCCAGGTGATGGGATGACCACCATACCTGGCGGATACAGTGGCTTTTGCGAAAGGAGAGTTGGGCATATTCTGCAGGACAGTAATCCAACACTTGAGGGTGAAGGCAGGAAGAGCTTTGAACTGGGAGGCCAGATTGGGTTCTAAGTGCCTCAAACAATGGGAGAGAGCCAAGCATGGTAAATCACACCTGTCATCCAGCACCTAAAGACTGAGGCAGGAGGACTACTGCAAAGTCCAGGAAAGCCTAGGTTATACAGCAACCCCCCAAATACTAAAGCCCAAAGTGTGGGGGTGCCCTTGTCATGACTGTGGCAGGAAGGCTCTCACCAGGTTAGGAGGAGACACTGAATTACACTCTGGGATTTACTGGACCCTAGTACCGTGAGCCAAACCAACCATCATCTATCAACCACCTGGTGTCAAATAATCTGTTACAGAAAATGGATTAGGCAAAATGGGAAGACGATTAAAACCAGACACACACTTGGGCTATCTTCAGCTTAGAGAGCCAGCAGCCCAGCTGGTGACTGATGGCATGTCTTTGGAAAACTACACGGCAATGTACATAGAATGGAGGGAGAACATTTAGTAACATGGCATTTTCCCAACACAAAACAATATTCTCATCATGACAGTTGTTTGAGACACGGTCTCATGAAGTTCCTGCTGGCCTTAAATGCCTATGTGACCAAGGATGATGCCAAACTTCCTGACAGCTTTTGGGAACTGCTGTGGCAAGGGCTCTACCTCATTCTTTTTATATTTTTAAATACTGCATATGGGTGTTTGCCTGCATATACGCCTGTGTACCACATGTGTGCAATGCCCACCAAGTCCACAACATCCCTTGGAACTGGAGTTACTGAAAGTTGTGAGCTGCCACATGGGTGCTAGGAATCAAACCCAAGTCCTCTGCAGGAGCAGCCAGTGCTCTTAACCACTGAGCCATCTCTCCAGCCTCTATCTTATTCTTTTAAACTAACCTGAATATCAATAACTAGTTTTATATGTGTAAACACACACGTATATATCCATTTGCGTATATACCTGCATGCCAGAACAGGGCACTCGATCTCATTGTAGATGGCTGTGAGCCACCATGTGGGTGCTGGGAATTGAATTCAAGACCTCTGGAAGAGCAGCCAGTGCTCTTAACTGTTGAACTATCTCTTCAGCTCTCAACTAATTGTGTTTCTAACAACTGTTTTCAAACTTAAAAACAGGCCCAGGAGATGGCAGCACAGGGAAGTGTTTGTTGCACAAATATTTAGCCTGGAGTCTGAGCCCAGCTCTCAGGCAAAAGCTGTGTGTGGTGGCACACAGCTGGAATCCCAGCCCTGGGAGCCAAAGACAGGCTAGAGACTGGTAGAAGAGCTCCTTCCCCAGGCCAGCCTCTTGCCACACACACAGACAGGTGTGTAGTGCTTGTTTCTAAAGTTTATTTGGGGTGTTTAGGCCTCTGCCTCCCTTCCACCAACCCTTTAATCCTAGGTAGGAGAGGTTGAGGGGTGCAGTTCCCTTTCCTTTTCCCTGCTGTTTAGGGTTGAAGGGAACTTACTGGGGTTATACCAATCTCTGTCAACAGCAGATGAAGCCAGCAGTTTCCTCCAAGCTGCTGCGTCAGGAAGGGATTCTCTCCATTTGTCTGCTCCAAGCCTCACACCGTCTGTCTCTGGTCTCTCCAAACTGCCACTCATCAAACACCTTCTTTCTTGGCTCTCCTATTTATATCATCAGCCCTAGGCCATGCGCCTCTCCATGCTGAGGCAGGCTGTTACCAGCTTTCAAAGGCCATGCCCTGCTCATGACAATTATCAACTGTGGGAACTAAAGCCAAACTAAAATCCTACATTTGAGATTAAAACAAAAACGAGTTTACAAAGAAACCAAAATTTCCGTTACACAGGTGCCTGCCCCCAACTATTTATATATAGAGGGCTGTCTCAGTGGTAAAGTGCTTGCTCTAAAGGCATGAGGACCTGAGTTTAAATCTTCAGAACTCAAACAAAAGCCAGGGGTGGTAGTGCATACTCATAATCCTAGTGTTGGGGATGTAGAAGCAGGAGGAGCTATGACACTCGCTGGCTGAGGTACCAAGTACATAGATTGCAGCTCAGCCTGAAGCTGAGGATTATGAATTTGAGGTCAGTCTGGGCTGCACTGAGACCCTGGCTCAAAGCCACAAAAGGAGGATAGATAGGGAAATGGGTGCCAAGACTGCCCTTAAGGAGTGTGGCTGGACCTGGGCTCTTATGGAACTGAATCCTGGTACAGCATCTCCTGGCTGAAGCCACAGAGGTTCTCCGGGAGGCTCGTCAAGAAGACTGAGAGTTTAAGGGCAGCCCCAGTTACAGTGAGTTTATACAGTCACACACCCAAGATCATTAGACATCCAGGCATGAAAATAAAGGTAGGTAGAATTATTATTTTTTGCCTTGCGTTTCTATGTGGTTTGCGTGTATGTGTGCAGCAAGTATTTGTTTGCAAGTGTGAGTGCCCATGTACCACAGATGATGTGCATGCGGAGGCCAGAGGTTCGAATCAAGTCATTAGGTCCTTATCTACACACACACTTAACTTTTTTTTTTTTTTTTTTTTGGTGACAGGCTTTCTGTGTAGTCCAGGCCGTCCTGAAACTCACTTTGTATGTAGATCAGGCTGGCATTGGACTCAGAGATCCACCTACTTCAGCCTCCCAAGTTTTGGGATTAAAGACATTGGACCACCAAAAATCTTAAGATATTTATTGATTTAGAGTATTTATCTGTGGGTGTGTGCATGCCACAGCATAAATGTGGCAGAGGACAACCTGCAGGATCCAGGTTCTCTCCTACCATGTGGGTCCCAGAAATGGAACTCAGATCAACAGGCTTGACATAAAGTAATCACCTTTACCTACATAGCTATCTCACTGGCCCTTGACCTAATGTGTAAGTCACTGGACCTGGAGCTGGCCAATACCCAGCTTGCTCCCATGATCCTGGATTCAACCACTCCCACCCCAATACACACTAGGACAGCAGGTAGGGCTGGATCTGCCCAGCTTTTACATGAGTTCTTGGGTTCCAACTCTGGTTTCCTACCTGCCAAATCCCTTTGTGTTGTGTTGCTAGGAGCACATGGAGAGACCTTCCCTGACAAACCAGAACCAATCTCAAGCTCCTAGAGACCATCATCATTTATTTTTGGTGAACACAGCTATTCCCACAGAACAGTCTATGACACAGGAGCCTGAAGATGATGACAATGGAAAACAAGGAACATGACAATTTCCCCGTTTCAGACCCTGAGGTTTGGGGGCTCAGGTCTGATCATGGAGAACCCACTGCTCGGAGACCTCCAAACACACAGAGAAATCAAGTCTCAAATACTCTCCTGCCTCAACACACCTAGCTCATTTCCTCCGTCAAAGGAGTTTTGAATTTTCTGTAGAATAAATGATATAAAATAAGGTGCTGCGTGTGGCAGCTCCTGGCCAGCATCAGCCTGCGCTTCTATTCTGTGGCCAGCCTGGGCTAAGGCAGACACCATCTCAAAGAAATAAATAACAAAAAGACCCAAGTGCTGTAACAGTGAACAGACTTATAAAAGTCTTAAGTCTCAGTTAACCCTTCTGTGAAATGAAAGAGGTGGGTAGGTCAGGATCAGTGTTTTGGCCAAGCCATTTCAAAGGGTATATGAGGAGAGCAACATAAATTCTCTAATATGAATGTCTAACAGAGGTGGGATGGAACAAACCGGTAGAGGGAGGTGAATGTGGCAGGGGGCAAGGTGTGAGGCTAATGTGACTGAATGGGCCAAAGTAAACTGTGGACCATCAGGTCTCTTGTTTTGTTTGCTGTTTGTCTCGTGTAGCCCAGGCTGGCTTCAAACACACTATGTAGCCAGAGATTACCCTGAACTCCTGATCTTAATTGCTTCAGCATCCTGAGCATTGGGGTGCTGAGGATGGAACGAAGGACTTCACCCGTGCCAGGCAAGCACTGTCCCACTGAGCTGCAGCCCCAGCTCTTTGTCTTATGATCTGAAAATCTGGTCTAACCTGATTGTCGCATCCATTCTAGTGTTCACACTTGCTGGAAGCCTATGAGTAGAATTAAATATCCCATTTACTAATATATAAACCATAAGAAAAGTGAGATGGGCCTTTTCCCTCCCTGGGGAAAAAAAAAAAAAAATACAGCAACATCATGGAAATCCAAAAGGACGCAATTCATTCTGAGTTCAGTGCTGAGTCAGGGGCACCATGGGGGCCTCTGCAGTGTCAGGTGTCTCAGGACCATCTCCACAGTGAGGAGAACCTGACTGATCACCTTAGCAAGGTGCTCCTTCCCACTCTGTGGTGGTGGGGTCTGAACATCTGCAAACCAGTAAGCAAGGCAGAGGGGACTGTCCCGTGGCTGTGGTTGCCAAGTCTCAGACAAGCAGGAGGCTAAGGTCATAAACTAACCTTCAGTACAAAACTCCAAGTAATCAAAAGCAGAGGGACCCAAGGAATCAGGAGTTCAGGACTGGGGCACCATGACACACTTGTCAGCTTAGTGCTTAGCGATGGAGACAGAGGCACAAAGAATGCTAAGGGTTAAAGGGCAGCCTGTGAGCCTTAGTGAGGGTGATTCCATCTGGGCGTGATGGTACATGCTTTTAATCCCAGCACTCCAGAGGGTGGAGACAGGTAGATCTCATGAGTTCAAGGCCAGCCTGTCTCAAAAACAAATAAACAAACCAACCCCAAGACCCACGACACCCCAAGCTAACCCTGCCATTTACCTGCTGTGCCCATAACAGAATCCACACTTCTGCCTACCAACAGGTTCTCCTTGCACTGCCACACCAGCCTTAAGCCAGCCTCTCATGTAGCCCAGGCTGGTCTGGGACTCGCTATGTAGCTGAGGACCTTGTCCTCCAGATCATCCTGTCTGCTTCCAGAGTGCCAGGAAGGCAGGCCTGCAGCACTCACATGGTTATCTGTGAAGCCAGGGACTGAAGCTAAGGCTGCCCGCATGCTAGGCAGACACTCTACCAACCCCAGCCTCAAATTGATTATTAACTAAAAAAAACAAGACCTGCTTGGTGTCCCACTTGTTGGGACACAGTTCAGATCTTGATACACATGTGGTCTTCTCATGGACAAGAACACTGTACTCGGAGTGTGGATACCACCTCCTGCTATTGCGGCTGCAGCTTCAGTACCCTTCAGCATTGCCAGCTACCACTGAGCCTGCAGGGACTGGTTCCAGCGACAAACACCCCATATTTTGAAATGAGTCAAGACAGTTTCCGCTCTACTGGCTAGCCCTGGTACAGCACCGATGGGACTCCGGTGCGAAAGCTCCCATAGCTAATGAGATACTCCCCAGAGAAACTCAAGGAAATTACTGTGGCCACTATCCGACCTTCTGTGCATTCACAAGGATGGAATGCAGCTGAGGTAACAGCAGCCACCACCTCCTCTAGAGTTCAAGGGCCACCAAGGCCCAGAGGACTATGTCCCACTCGGGCACCCACAAGGCAGAGGATGGTCACAGCCAATGGATGATGGTAACTGTAGATCTGCCCCAGGGCAGCACTAACTGTAAGTGGCCAACTGCCTTGGGGCACCCTGGAGCTCTTGCTGGGGACAGGCACTGCCACCAGTGTCAGCCCTCTATACTTCTGGGCTACGGCCCTGCTGTCCGATCCTTGATAACCCAGATGCCACCTTCTGCTGGCTTCTAGGACTGTAGCCAATGTGGTGCCAGTTCTGAGGATCAGGTCTCTGTTGTTACCATAAGTTCCAGCAGACAACCCTGTGTGCCAGCAGAGTGTGGCCTCTGGGACGAAGCAGAAAACAGGATCTGTTTCTGTCTCTCCTGCCTAGAGCCTGTGGCTGTCTGTGCTGTGATCACATCCCACAATCCAACAGGGGCCAAGACCCAGGGCTCCCCTGATGGTGTGCCATGTGTCATGTGCTCAGCCAGGCTGCCAGAATGTTCTGAAGCTGCTAGGCTCAGAGAGATGGTGCAGGAGGCCTGGCCTGGCAGGCCCTTACACATCGTGCCGGCTGAGGGTGTAGGAATTTGGGTGACCCTGGCGGCTGTACTGGAAGTGGTCTGTGAGGAGGATGTTGCGGTACTGGAAGTCACCCTGCTGGGGGAACAGTGCACCATTGTGTGGCTTCTCCATCGGGCTCCGCAAGTGCTCTCTGCTGCTCAGGTCCAAAGTGGAGACAGGGAGGAGGTGGCGGCGGGCCTGCTGGTTTGCGTCATACTTGGTCTGTGTGGAGAGAGAGCAATGAGAGGTATAAGGGAACTCTAGGTATGGGGACATGTCATCCCAGCACTAAGTGGCAGGAAGGGCAAGATTACCAAAGCAGCCTGTGTTACATAGTGATTTTGAGAAAAACCTAGGCTTATATGAAACTGTTTCAACAAAACAAAACAAAACACCAAAAAACAAAACCAAACTGTAACAAAACAAAAACAGAGACCACTACCACCAGCAAAGAGGTTACCCCAGACAAACGGCTAGGGTGCTTCTGTGGTCGAGCGCTGTTCTACATGCACCAGCTCCGGCTGCACCTGCAGTGCTGCATACACCAGGGAACAGACACCCGTCACTCTACTCCCTGGGATGGAGCAGGAGGTCAGGAGCTCAAGGCCACAAGGACTATATAAGACTGTTCCAAAACAAACAAGACACAAAGGGAAGCTTCAGGTCGCCTGCACCCGGGACCCCAGAGCTCAGGGGTCGGAGGAGAGTGAGTTCTAGAGTAGCCTGTGCTCACAAGCCTGCTGCCATGCTGCTCTGTCCAGCACACAGAACTGTCCTACCCCAGAAGGAACCCAGACCTCCGGGACCCCCTCCCTTTTTGGCCCCTTGTTCCCTAAGGCTGTGCCTGGCTGGAGCACAGTGGCAGCTATGCTCACCTTGTTGTATAGAAAGACACCCAGGATGGCAGTCATCATGCCCAGGACATTGGTGCTGGTCACTGGGTTGCGCAGCATGATGAGGGACACGGTGATGACCATGATCCTTTTGGTGGCGTTGGCCACCGAGTAGCTGAGCGGGCTGATGAGGTTGAGAATGCTGAAGGCGATGACATTCTGTGCAAAGTTGCAGAAGCCACTGACTGCCAAGAGCAGTAGCGTCCAGGGCCACTGAGACACATAGGCCTGTGGAGACGGGAGCGTCAGGAGGGAGCGTGCATACATACTCAGGCAGACTGCCACCGTGGGGCAGCAGGTGGTTAAAGTTTTCTGAAATAGAGTCTCATGTAGCCCAGGCTGGCCTCAAACTGGTAGGCTATACATTTGGCAACAGACACCTTTACACGCTGAGCCACTTCCCCAATTCACGTGACGCTTTAGGCACATGACCTCTAACCCCGACCACTCACTGTATGATGCAGTCATCCAGTACCATCTTTAGTCAGAGATGCTTCATTAGTTAAGAGCACTGGCTGCTTTCCCAGAGGGCAAGGGTTAGCTTCCCAGCACCTACATGGTGGAATATAGTCCCGGGGGATCTGATGCCCTCTTTTGACCTCTGAGGGCACCAGGCACACATGTTGTATGTGGACACACATATGTAGACAAAACATCCATACACATAATATTTAGTAACTTTTCTGTAGAAAGGCCACCAAAATTTTGTGTGAGTGTGTGTGGTGGGGGTGCAGCTTACTACAGGGACCCAATCCCTGACTCCTGGCATCTAAATTCTTGTCCTCACAGCTGCACAGAAGCACTTTCCCCACTGAGCCATCTTCGCCGCTTGGCAGCTGAGCTTGAGCTGAGCATATGTGAAGCTGTGGGTTTCAGTCCCAAACCCAAACAAAGCAGAAGTGAAAGCATCAATGCATACAGACCAGAGATGGGCAACATTATCAACTACTGCCGCCTTCTGCAAGGGCTGCCAACGGTGGGGAAGAACTTCCAGAGAGAGGAACACAGAGCCCCAGAGCCCACCCGTCCTCAAGACAGGTGCCAGGAGAACAGTGGCCCAGCTGGGACACTGGGAGGCCCTGGGCATCAGCTTTCTCAGATCTTGCTCGCACCTAGCCTCCTGGACTGTTGCTAATTCCCAGCCATCCTGTGGTGCCCACAAGTCCCAGCTGGCCTCTCTCTCTGGATATGGTGGTTAGCAGGCATGTCAGTTGGCCACCAGGGGAAGGAAGGCTCACACAGTCACCTTGGAGGAAGATTCACAAGAATGATGCCTAGTCATACTGAGCCTCCAATTGAGGCACACGTTCTACTCCAGGACTCAGGAAGTGGAGGCAGGAGGATCAGGAGTTTGAACTCTCCCTGGGCTACCTAATACAGGACAAGCTCCAGCACCCATGTGGAAAAAAAAAAAATGTTGGGTGCAGCTATACATATGCAGAGACCCACTGTTAGAGGCAGGAAGCTTGGGTGAAAGAAACTAGCAGATCTTGAGGGTTTGGCAGCCATCCTAGCCAGTCAGTGAAATCTTACCACAAAGGGTTAAGAGGGAGCTACTGAGGAAAACGCAGGAGGCTGGACTGTTCCTCAGTGGCATAACACAAGAGACACATTGCTAGTGCACACATGCCCCACATGAACACATGCCGAAGGGAAGGGAAACCGCACGGAGCAGAAAGTGGGTGCGCTTTCTGTTCCTGCAACAAAGCATCTCAGTGCTTCCTTGGAGGATGAGAATTGCCACATCCAAGCTCCAAGGCACTGGGCAGGAGCTGCCTGGGGTCACCTGGGGCTCAGCTTGCAGGAGCCCCGCCCGTGGCAGGAAGAGCTTCCACTTCACAGACATCTGCGCTGGAGCAGGCGGCCAGCAGTGGGGCAGCGAAGGCTACATTGGACAGCTTCTATTGACTGATCTTCAAGTTACTGAATTCTTCCGCTGTCATCGCCATTGTGCAGCAGCCACCCACTGAGGCTTGGTTGTTGCCATTCTAAGATTTCCATTTGATTTATCTTTTTTCCTTTTAAAAATGATTTTAACTGAAATAGAGTTGCATCACTTCTATCCTTGTCTGCTCTCCAGCCCCTCTCATATGCCCTCAGGTTGACAGCCTTTTTTTTAGTATTTTCATATACAAATGTGTGTGAACACAGCACATGTATAAATGCAGCCTGCTGAGCCCATTTTTTGTTAGTTTTTGTTTGTTAGTTAGTTTGCTGGTGTGTATCTGGTTTCTGAGCTGACCACACTATACTGGACAACCAATGAGGGTCCTCATCTCTGGGAGAGGCTAATTCTCCCTCTCCCAGCTGTCCTTAGTTTCCTATACTTCTTTGGCTGAGGGTGGGACTCCATGAAATTTTCTCTCCCTTCCAGATTAACATGTCCATTGGCACTGCTACTGTCCCTGTCTTGTTCATGAAGCCGTTTCTAGGGAGCCTGTTCCACAGCAGACTTCCTGGTATTCTGGCTCTTAAATCTTCCTGTCCATCCCCTCTACACCGATGCTCCTGGGCCACAGATGTGGGATGTGCCTGTATCCACTGGGGCTTGGCCCCTATCATCTGCTGATCTGCACTGTGCAGTGTGGCTTGCTGTGACGGGCTCCATTTGCCATAAAGAGGCTTCAGTGAGGAGGGGTGGGAGCTGTGCTCATCCAGGAAAGGTGGCTCAGCACAGAGGGTTTGAGGGTAAAGGGTCCAGAACAATCTTTCTTTCATACAGTCTCATGTAGCTGAGGATGACCTTAAATTCTTGATCTTCCTGCCTGTATCCCCAAGTATTGGGGTGACAGGCAAGCACCACCACTTTTGAATTTTAAAATATCATTGTGTCTGTGTGCCACAAGAGGTCAGTGGACACCAGTATAAGTTGGCTCTCACCATCATGTTGGTCCCAAGGATGGAGCCGGTCATTAGGCTTGCATGGCAAGTACCTGTACGTGCTGAGCTCTCTCTCTTGGGCCCTGGAACATGCCCAGGACCAACATGGCAGAAGACATAGGCCCTCACTTGAATCCTGTACCAAATGGTGCTGTTTTCAGGATTCTAACCCCAGCAGCCCATGAAGACCGTGGTCAAAGAGTCTTCAGCAGCTCTATCTGCTCTGAGACACTGGGGGCGGTGCTCACGGGTCCCGATAGCTGCTTTCCAGGATTTCCTTTTTGAGACAGGGTCTCATGTAGCCCAGGCTGACCTCAAATTCACCATGCTCTGAGGGTGGCCCCATTTCCTAATCTTCCCAACTGCACTTCCTGAGTGTAGAGATAACAGGTGTGTATTACCTCCCCCAGCCATTCCCAAGTTCTTTCAAGTCACCATGCACTTTCAGGGTTCTTTCTCAGGGCTCCTGTGTCTTCCATGCATCTTCCCACCACTTCCACCCCTGCCACCAAGAGCTGGGCTGAATGACGCCACTCTGCCAGGAATGTCCTGTGACTGTAACAGTCAGCTATCTTTTGAGACAGGTAGCTCAGCCTGTCCTCAAAGTTGCTGTGTACCCAAAGACAACTTTGGATTTCTAATCCTCCTGCCCCCACTTCCTGAGTACTGAGACAAGAGGCGCATGCCATCTTCTGTGTGTGGTGCTAGGTGGAGCCTGGGCCTTATAGGGCCATAGTGAGCCCCAAGTCACAGTTCTGGAGATGCAATTCAGGATCATGTGGCTCTGGCAAAGGCTCTTTTAGCAGACAGGAAGTAGAGGCAGCACAGAAGAGGAAAAGAGAGGTAGCCTCCAAGGACATGTCCCAATTCTTCACTTCCTCCTCCCAGGTTGTGCCTCTGCCAGGCCCCACCACCTCCAGCAGCTTTTAGCAGGGACTGACTCTTCCACACACTGGTCTTGGAAGACAGTCAGATCCAGACTGACCACAGAGCTACAACAGTGCTACACTGTAAGAGCATGAGTGTGCACCTGTGTTCACATGTGTCTGTGCATGTGTGTGAGTGTACCAGAGGGTAGGGTGGTTGTGTATAAGACTTCAATGGGGCAGCTTCATCTTCTCAGGACTTTGGTTCCTACAGCTGCTGACCAGATTTGGAGCCCATTTGGATTCAAATTCTTGAATTAAGCAGATTTGAAATAAACTTCTGAAATAAAGTTCCCTTCTGGATGGCTACTCCACCAGTCTTCACAGAGTGACACTGTCATCTGTATGCTCCCACCATGGACCCAAAGCATCAGGGCCAAACAAAGAATGAAACACTGAGCCAAGACAAACATTTCCTCTCCTCACACCAAGAACCTTAGGTGCTCTATCACTGCCACAGAAAGCTGACAGGCACAGGACAGCGGGAGCCCTGGCTCTCAGGCTATTGCATAGAGACTACCTTCTCCTCCCACATGTACTCCTGTCACTGTCACGTGGTATGACAGGAAGTGGCAGGAGCCCTTGGAAAAGACCCCACTGCATGCTGGACTTCTGGTCTCTAGAACTGAGAGTTAGAGACCCTGATTCCTGTGATCTAGCCTAAGTCAGGTACTGTTACAAGAACAGGAAATAGCACAGATGTCCCAAGATGAACCCAGGGCTACAGCCTCCAGCAAAGCACATGCTTAGAAAGCTAGTGGAGACACACAGTTCTCAGCAGTCCCAACTCACCAGGTCGCTGCTGACCAGGAAGGTGGAGAGGTCCACCAGGACCCATGTGGGGATCATGAAGAACACGGCGTGGCAGCCCAGGATATTGAGCAACCGCAGGTGGTGGATCCTGGAGTCCCTCAACACCTGAGGGGAGAGTCCTCATTAGAGCCACTTACAACAAGCAACAGGCCTGGGCATCCAGTCCCCAATATGAGACGGGAATCTGACATTCATGCTCGGGTATCAGACTGGCTTGCTTGCTTATGAAGGAACACACAGCCATGTCTGGACAAAGTGCTCTGTCCTGTGGATGACAAGCTAACACAGGAAAACCAGAACCAACCCAGTAGTAGACAGCTGTGGAGGGTGTAGTGACCTGGGTACTCTGAAGTCCCCATCCCCACCTTGTTTGTTTGTTTGTTTTTTTTTCATCCATCTGTTTTTGAAACAGATGGGTCTTGCTCTGTAGCCCAGGCTGGCCTGGCACTCCCAGCCATGCTGCCTTCATCCTACATATGCTCATGACAGGCAGGTGCTACCATGCCTGGCTGAAATCCCTGAATTGAGTCTAGATTGGTTTAGTCTGTCTGAGCACCGCCAGGCAATGCCAGGCAAAAGCCAGAAACAGATCCTACCCCAAACCATGGACCTCAGGGCTATCAAAGGAGGATGCCCTTGTCAGCAGCACACGTGCAGAGATTCCCAGGTGTATTTCTTATGACAAGTGGAAATTAGCCACATTCCCAAGAGGGGGACCCACTGTACCGAAAGTGGCACCCAGCAGCTCTGAGTTTTAGTCATGACTGAAGGCTCTGCAGCAAGGTGACACCATAGTAAGAACAGATGAGCACAGCCAGACAAGACAGGGTCAGTGACACACCTCACTGGAAGAGCACCCTCAACATACACAAGCCCCTGGAAAGGAAAGGAGGAGCTGTGGGGCTGGGGAGAAGGCTTAGGCCCAGCGGCCTGAGTTCAGATCTGCAGTACCCACATAGAAGCTGGTCACTGCATAGTGTATGTTAATGCAAGTAGCTGGTGGTAGGGCCCTCAGGCAGATCCCAGGGGCTTACAGACAAAACAGGCTTCCAGGTTTAGTGGGAAATAATGTAGAGGGGCTAGGGAGATGGGTCAGTGGGTGAAGGATTGTAAAGGCGTGCCACCAAGCCTGATAACCTGAGTTCAAGACTCAGGTTCCACATGATGGAAAGAGAAATGACTCCTGCAAGGTGCCCTCTACCGCCACTCTAAGGCTGTGGCAGGTGCCCTTGCACATACACATCAGGTGAATAAATAAAATGTAGCAAGAGAACATAGAAAAGAAAAGGAACAAGAGACAGCAGAGAAGGTTAGGGTTAGGGTTAGCTTTCACAGCAAAACAAGGGCCAGGGATGCAGGTAGACAGAGGGCACACTAGGCTCTGCTCTGGCCAGTAGGCTTGAGGCCACTACCCTCAGGCAGCCTTGCCAGGAGCAAGGCCCACACACCTTTTTGGAGAAGATGTTCTGAAGGGAGAAGCAGAGCGTGGCTGCCAAGGCGCTGACCAGCCCCCACACGTCGAAGGACAGCTCTGTGACAGTAGCCAGCAGGACTCCGCTGATGATGGGAACCAGTGACAGGTACACCTGCAGGAGGTCAGAGGGGCTCAGGTGGGCTGAGGCTACCCACCATCCAGAACTTTAGGAAATGCTAGGTGGCCCTGTACCTTCCCTGGAGGACCCCATCTTCCACCTGGAAAACGCTGCCTACAACCATACACAGTACTTCATGCCCAGCATTCTGACACTCAGAAGGCTGAGCAGGAGGATTACTAAGAGTCTTAGGGCTGGGGCTGGTGGGATGGCTGAAAGATAAAGGTGCTTGACACCAAGCATGACAGCCTGATGCCCAGGACCCATATGGAAGGAGAGAACTGAAGCTAGACACAGACACAGACAGACAGACATTTACACAGGCAAATGAATGAATGAATGAATGAATGAACGAATGAACGAATGGGAAAAAGTCTGAGGCTAGCTGGGGTTACTTCAAATCCTGTTATCAAAACAAACAAAAAACCAAACAAAACCCAATAAGGCAAAACCTGGTAGATTTCTAGTCTTAGGTAAGTCTGGGCTACACATAAGAGTTTTTTTTTTTAAACAGTAAAAAAAAAAAAAAAAAAAAAAAAAAGATTTATTTATTTGCTATGTATACAGATCTCATTCTAGATGGTTGTGAGTCACCATGTGGTTGCTGGGAATTGAACTCATGACCTTTGGAAGAGCAACCAGTGCTCTTAACCTCTGAACCATCTCTCTAGGCCCCTGCAGTAAGATTTTGTATCAAAAACCAAATCAGGGGCCGCTCAGTTGGTAAACTCTTCCAAGCCTGATTGAGTTTGATCTCCAGGATTTCGTGGTGGAGAGAGAGCGCCTTCTGCAAGTTGTCCTCTGACCTTCATGTGTACCCACATACCAAAAAAAAAAAAAAAAAAAAAAAAAAAATATATATATATATATATATATATATATATATAATAAAATAAAAAAAATATATATATGTATATAGACAAGACAGGCGAGGCTTTTAGGAGCTAGAAAGCAGTGGTCACTGGAACTTGAACCCTTGGCCCATGGAACTTGTACTCCTGGCCATGGCCCACTCTGCCTGTCTACATCCTCCATCTTCCCTGAAAACAGGGATTCCATGGCCTGGCTTATATGTCTCGAAAGGAAGGTCCCTGCTCAAGGGCCAGGTTCTGCACCGATGAGGCCTTGTACCATTTACAATGTCCCTAGTGACAAGGAAAACTGTGTCTCAGTAGGTATGCTATCAGGTGACACACCTGGATGCCTCCCCAACAGCTCTGACCCTCAGGAGGCCAGTCCCATCCGACATTGCCCGGCAGGGACTGCAGCATGGAGAGGGCTCACCAGGATGAAGATGGGCCTGAGGACAACACTCAACCAGAGGTGGCCTAGTTTTTGCAGTGATCCAGGGTGCAGCCACTCCCAGTTAAATCAATTATAGGACACAGGAAAATGAGAACTTGTAGAACAAGGTGCAATGGCTTCCAGCTGGAACACCGGCATCCCCACTGCACTTTAAGGACACTGTGAGCCCAATTCTTGCTCTCTAGCCCCATGCCAGGAAATCTCCTAGCCTGTCACCCTCCTCAGGCATCTCTGGGTGCTGTGGTGATCCACATCTAGATAACCACAGCCCACAGTTAACGGTTTCAAGACAGGGTCAAAGCCTGGGCCTTTGAGTTCTTAGCAAGGGCTCTACACTGAGCTACAAGTTTTCTCTCTGTCTCTCTGTCTCTCTTTTTATTTTAGATAGGGTCTCTCTAGGGAGTCCTAGAATTCAACATGTAGACCAGGCTGGTCTCAACCTCAGAGATCTTCCTGCCTCTACCTCCCAAGTATGGGGTTAAAGGCTTATACCATTATGCCCAGCTCTGAGCTTTTTTGAGACAAGGTCCAGTGCTGTACCCTAGGCTGGCCTGGACCTCTCATCAGCATGCTGTCATCTTGGGATGACAGACCCATGGAACCATGCCATTCCTAAGAACTGGCTGGATTCTGATATCAAACTGACCCAGCATGTCATATCAGATCCAGACAGCCCCTACCAACCATTCTTTCTGGTGAAAGGAAAACTAGAACATGATAGCTCAACAGGTTAAGGTCCCTCTCTGACAAGCTGGGCAACCCGAGTCTGATACCCGGTATCCGAATGGTGAAAATTGTCCTCCACACACATGCAAAGGCACAACGTACACACATAGATAAATGTAAAAATAAAGTAAGAAAAGGAAAACCTGTCCCAACTTAGTTTGCTCCTGGGTGACTTGCCAAAGTGGAACCAAACAGACATCACCTACCACCAATCCTAGGGAGGGAATCAAAACAGAAAAGAACAGCTGACCCCAGAGGAATGTGGCGCTCACGGACACCATTCAAGAGGTTACCGGGGGACATCACCCCTTCACATACACACACCTGCTGCTTGAAAGGTGAGTATGGGACACTAGGTGAGGCCACAGGAGGCCGGCACCATAACTTCCTTATTTGACAGGAAGCCAGAGGTATGCCACGGTCCAACCACGTCATCAACCTAGGGAGCTAATACCCGGAATCCCCCCTAGCCCAAGGCTTCTGCGAGGGTTACCTTGGTGCTCTGTTTCTCCTTCATGATGATCCGAGACAGGAGGACCACCCAGATGGGCATGGTGGCCTTGACTGCAAAGAGAGGAAAGGCACTCAGCGGGTAGTCCCGGTAGCCTGCACACCCGACGCCGGACCTTCTTTTGGTAAAGCTTCCTCCCGACCCCAATAGCTGGAATCAGTTCTGCTCGGCGCTCGGTTAACTCCTCAGACATTTCCAACCCGAGAATCCGCTGCGCCGTGGCGGCGTCTCAGTCAGACTGCCCGCACACTCGTACCCATACTTCGAAGCCCCAGGCAGCGCGCACGGCCTAAGTCCGCACCTACCGGTGTGCGCGTAGGACACCGGCACCTTCCATATGCTGACGTGCGCCGACACCGACGCGAAGTACTTGCCAAAGGCGAGCGGCAGCACGTAACGCGGGTAGAAGCGCGGCGGCAGCAGAGGGCCGGACGCCGGATGCGGGCCGGGACCGGACACCGGCGGCGCGGGCGGCACGCGCCAGGCGCGCAGCAGCGGCGGCAGCCCCGCGCACAGCGCTAGGATGTGGCACAGCGACACGGTGACCGGGAACGGGAAGGCGCTGAGAATCACCTTGTTGACCACGTTACCGCCCGCGCTCAGCGCGTACCACAGTAGACACAGCGCCGCCACCCGCGCGCCCTCGCGAGCCCCGCCACCGCCGCCCGCGCCCGGGACCCCCGCGCCCGCGCCGGGACCCGCGGCTGCCGCCGCCGCCATCCTGCCAAAGCGGCCGCCCCTTCGCGCCGGACGACCGCCGGACGCGGGCCGGGGGCGGGACACCCCGGGCGGGCGCGCCGGCAGACGCCGCGCACTATTGGTCATCGGCCCTGCGCGTCTCGCCTGTCGCCATTGGCCACAGCTCTGCGCGTCATCACCCTGCGCCGTCCGACGCGCCTTGGTACGTCTCCGGCGAGGGCCACACCCTCACTTGAACGCCTTCCGAAAGGGGGCGGGGTCGATCCCGGAAGCCGGGTCGTGGGTCCTGCGCGTGCGCGGAGCGGGTTTCGTATTTTTCTTCCATTGTCTGGCTGGGCTCCGAGAGCGGTGCGATTCGAGGCGGGCCACTTGAGGTCGTGGAAGTGGGTGCCTGGACTAACAAAAGATCTTTTACGGGAAAAGAAACCGATTGTAGCAAACCTTCTGTACGACGCCGGGCCCTCGGAAGCTGTGCGGTAGGTGTCACCTTCCCCTCACAGACCAACCGAGCGAATCCCAGGGCTCGGCGCCTCCTGCGACACCGTCTGCAGAGCTCTGCTGACCGGGACGGTGCGGGCAGAGGCTGCTGGCAAAAGCCGAGGCAGGACAAGATGACAGCACGGAGCTCCTAGACTACAAAACTCGATTCCGAAGATTGTTGTTAAGTGCTTTGGGGAGAAGCGTTGTTCCCGTATTCATTTATGGAGGCAGAGCACGTGTGTGTGTGTGTACACATATGGAGGTCAGAGAAGGACTCGAATCTGTTGTCTCCTTTTCGCCATGTGGGTCCAGGCAACCAAACTCATGCCCTCTGGCTTGGCAGCAAGCTTTTATGTGCTGAGCCATCTCGACCTCAACATTCTCCTTTACAGTCTTTATTAGCAGTTTAGAATGCGAGCCCCATGAATGCCGGGTTATCTTTGTAGCTGACCCCTATTCGCAGACCTTGTGTACACTGGGGCTTGCTGGATACTCAACACAGGTTGGCAGTCCCTGCAGATTGGGATCTGAGTACTAAGTGGCCTGTCCCAAAGCAGGGGTCTGAAAATAGAAGCCAGTGATACGACACCAACCTCTGTACCCTAGCACACTCCATCTGGGTGCACAGCCCTGTGTTACCAACTGGGTACAAGTAGCTACACTATTTGGACAGAGCAGTATCATGAGATGGTCTCACTGATGTGTTTTGGTTGCTCTTATCTTACTAGATTTGACCCTGGCAACTCTGTGGAAGTCTTTTTGTACTACAGCAGGAGCATGTGCTTAGGAGTGAGCACTGTGTCAGGCCACACAGATGGGTTTCCACGTCCTCAAATGACCCTTTAATGGGAGTGGACCTTCCTGCACCACACCTCAGAAATTCCTACTGGCTCTGAAACTGATTCTGGGTTGGCGATGATACAGAAGACCAGAAGTAATTATTCTAGGACTCAACCCATGCAGCTGCTGTTTTACAAGTAACTATTTACTCATCTGTGAAATTAAGCAGATATATAAAAGGTGAACCTATCTCCGAATGGGGAAAAACAAAACAAACAAACAAACAAACAAAAAAACAACAACCTAGAAACCCAATCCTGGCTTATTGATTTGGGAGAGGGGAAAAAACAGATCATTACTTTATAGTGGAGTTGAAACTTTAGTGGGCATCTGTCAGATATGGAGGCAGCCTCAGGCCTGCTGGCAGCAGCTAGCCCAGGTCTGCGCATCAGGGCAGGGAAGGTGTAAACTGTATCTCCAACCTAAACTGCCTGCAGCAGAGGTCTTCTCTAGGAGTATGACCAAGGGGATGTGGTTAGCCCTGAATGAATGAAAGACAAGTAGAGGCCCAGTCTGCTGCCACAAAATGGCATGCCACCAAGGCTGGTCCAGTAAATATAGCTGTGGGCTCCAGGGACCTCCTCACAGAATCCAGGAAAGGCTGGATTTAGCTGTGCAAGTGCAAATGAGAAATGGCTCCAAAACTGGTTTGTGCAAATGTTTTTTTTTTTTTTTTTTTTTTTTTATTTCCACATTTATATCACAAGTTGTCCACTTACTGGACCAAATAGCAAAGTTGCTCCCTTCTGCGCGAACACAGAAGACTAGGTTCTGTACATTCACTAAGGCTCCTTGTTTTTGCAAATCGCGTTTATGACAACCATAAGGCAAACGAATCTAAAGGAATGGTTATGAGTGTTTCCAGCGAACAGACGGCTCTCCCCTCGCCCAGCAGGGCAACTCTTACGCCAGTAGCACCCTCGAGAACTTTGTGGGGTTGAGGGATCTAGAAAGATGGCATTTTCTAGAGATGTGCAGAAAAGGAAAGGAAAGGGAAAGTCATTTGGCTGGTGGTCAGGTGGAGAAGATGAAATAAACGAGAAAACTGAAGTTTCTGCAGCATTTCTTTAAGAACTGGGATTGAACTGAAATCATAAAATCATATACAAACGAGTAGGATGCCTGTGCAGTGTGGATGAAGCTAGCCCACCCACACAATGCCAGGGCTCACCACAGCAGAGAAGCTTCCAGCGTACAACACGAGGGAAAACACTGGCTCGGCAGAGGCCAGAGAATAGCCTGTGCCTCAGAGACACCAGGGCCAAAGAGCAGGAGATGCAGAGATGAGGTGTGCGGTCTGTTGCTGTTAAGCAACCTCTCCCACATGGTTCCTGTGCCTGCCTGCCATGGGGGTCCCCGCCATCGGTGCTAGAGGGGTTCTGCACCTCTTTTGGGATGGGGGACTAGCGCTTTATCGCTGGCTTGTTATAGAGTTCTGGACTCCCTCTGCCATCTGCCCTTCCAAGCGGCCCTTCCTTTGCAATCGTTAGTAAACTGGTAGCAGCATTTCACAAAAGGAGGGTGGAGAGCGAGCCTCATGGCCGCCCTCCTGGCTGGCTAGCCTAGACCCTACAAGGTGGGAATGCACTTGATGGCCAGGCCAGACGCTCAGTCCAAGCAGACATAAGGCAGAATGTTCAAGCGCCCATCGTCGCCATGGGGGTCGAGCGATATGCACTTCGTCCAGTCATACCAATTACCCTGTGTGTCCTCACACCCGTTCACCCCTGGCCATTGCTGAGCCTGGATTCTGTTCAGATCGTCCTGTGTGACCTCCCGTGTGAGCCCTGGGAGGTCAGTGGGCGTAGGCAGCGGCAGCAGCACGTGAGGCTGCCGGACCCCTCGCCGACTGCTCTCCTCTTGCTTAAGGTACTCAGCCATAAAGTGGTGCGCGCCGGGGGTTTGCGCACCTGATGACGACAGCAGGCTGCTCTGGCGGCTCAGGTAGGACTGTATGATCTCGTTACGAGACAGCTCCTTCCAGTTCGTCTGCTCAAAAGGGCTCTGGAGGCTGGCTTTGGCCTCCTGCTGGTCCAGCTCTGTCCTTGGGAGCTGCTCCGTGGGTGCGGGGCTGTCAGCCCGCACTGGCTCTTTCTGAGTCAGAGGTTTGATCTGTCTCGTCATGGGGTCAAAGGTGAGCTTCCGCTCTTTTAACCGCACAGGCTTGACACCGGCCTCAGCCAAATGTCTGTCCAAGTTCACTGTGTAGTCTCGAGGTCTATACCTCTTTTTCTTTTTGCTGTCTGAGCCACCCGAAGAGGCAGCATCACTGTCCGCCTTGGAGGAATCTGGGGACAACCCAGCCCTGCAGGCCGGCCCCATTAGCCGTGGGTGGCCCTCGGGCTGCTCTGGCCAGTGCACAGGGCTCTCAGCACTGGGGAGCAGCTCCAACCGCCGTACAGGGGGTGTGGATGGCTGGGCCAGTGGGAGTGGTGATGGCAGCTGCGTGGTGTCCAGTGGCTGGGGCCGTGGGGAGGGACTAGATACAGGACCCTTGGGTGCATACAAGCTCCGCTGCCGAGCAAAGGAACCTTCATGCCGTGAGTTCCGAGGGCTGAAAGAGCAGCGAGAGGACCCCCTGGGATGGGGAGGGCATGGTGGCTCATCCGCCCTGTCCAGCTGCTGTAGCTGTGTGGTCTTGGTCTGCAGGCAGGGCATGGGGAGCTTGCCCAGGCCAGGGGAGCTAGGGCGTGGCCGCACGGCGTTCACGGGGATCTTGGTGCTGTGCTTCTCGTTCTCACTTGGCTCCAGGCGGCTGCTGTCAGGGCCCAAGTGCTCACTGCCATCCAGGGGGCTAGGTAAGCTCTCTGGGCTCCCACTGATCCCGTTGGTGGGGAAAGGGGATTCATTGGGGACTAGGGGGTCAGGACTGGCTTTGGAAATTTTGTGAGGTGGTCCTGGGTGGCCCAGGTCACGCTGGTCCCCCCTTCGCTTACGGCTACCCAGCCGGTCTAGCCGTTGTCCAGGGAGCCTCTGGATGTCGTTGCGATTCTTCAGGTCATGGATGTTCTTGGGTGCGCCAGCCACTCCCACCTCCGGCCGGCAGTTGTGTGCACCCCCATTGGCAGAGCCTGCAGCTCCTGCCAGCGCCCGTAGTGCCACCTCATTCTGGTGCACCGGCTCGATGAGCTTCTGCCAGCTCCGAAGCAGCCTCTTGGCCCGCTTGGCCAGTTCCTCATTCTTGGTTTTCTTTCGGACATCATTGATGAGCTTCCCTAGTCGTGTCTCCTACAACCAAGAGTGTGACATAATTACAGGATAGGGACACAGCATGCAGGACAAGGGTAACTCTCGGTTCCTGGCTCACCTCTTCCCTACCAGCCCTCAAACTGCCAGCTTCTTAGATAACAACTTGGGCATGGCCCAGTACTTTGTGGCAGCATGAACCTTTAGATCTGAGACCTCAGAAACAGGTCTATTGGTTCCCGGTACCTGCAGAATCTGTGCCATCAGTGTCGTCACAAAGCTGCTCTGCTGGAGTGTTTTAAGTGAGTATATTTTACAGCCTAAGACCCGGTCCCCAAAGAGAGGACAGGGCCACTAACAAGTTCCCTAAAGCACAGTTCAGGCTGTGTCCCCAAATGCAATGAAGTGTGCATAGTGTGGGGAAGGGCCCAGCTGTGAGATTAGAAGCCTCCATTATTGTACAACCTTGGGAAGACCAGTGCCCTGGGCACACTGCCCACTGGGTCCCCTGAAGGCCTCCAGGAGCCTAAGCCACAGGAGAAGAAGCTGACTGGGGCTATCTGCAGCCCCCATTCTGCCCAGAGTAGGGCCAGGGCACTTACCTCCAGTGCCTCTTTGGTAATGGGGTATCTCTCCAGACTGGAGATCACTTCCAATACTGCCACCATGTTCCGGATCTGAATAACAAGAACCATGTATCATCAGGGCTTTGCCCTCTCCCACAGAAAGCCCAGCAGCCTAGGGCCCTGAAAGGTGCGAGCACCAGGCACCAAAGCTCCCATCACCGTCTCCCATGGCTCAGCATTACCCATGTGCGTACACTCACCACCCGCTGCCATCAGGGTGCTCATGAAAAGGACCTGCCCTGGTCTGACAGACAGCTCTGCTGTGAGGTTCCTAGGCTAGAAGATCTAACACATAGAACACAAAAAGCCTCAGGAAAGAAAAGATGGGCACAGATAAACCTGATAACCTTACCAAGGTCTTCAGACAGATTCTCTAAACAAAGCAAGATATCACAAACTATAAGATGTGTATGTCACATGGCCAGAAGGAGGGCCTCTGTAACACAATACTTGCACAAAGTGCAGCTTAAAGAACCCAAGAGAAGGCCAGAGACACTGAGAGGCTCTGCGCATAACAGGCAGGGTCTGCACTAGTGCTGAGCTTCACGGTGACAGGGACACTAACCGTCCACAGGCTCAAGACTGGGATCCCACTCTGTGCCAGCCCTCCACTAACTTGTTTAATCACAACAGGCTCACTGGGCAGATACCAGGACTGTCATTCCAGAAACTTTAGCTATGTCCCAAGGGACTGCATAACACAGCAGCACAGCCACACTGGCAAATACAGCAATGCAGTAGCAAAGCATGAGTGGGAAGGGCTGAGGAGGGGCCTCCAAAGCAATAGGGGACAAATAACCTCGGTGTACCTAGGAGGCCTACATTCCAGAGAGCAGATACCACTGTTAAGAGTTATTTTTATAAAACTGTTTCTCTCTTAACCCCTGCTTCACACAAATAACTGAGACTCTATTCTATTATTTAAACAAGCATCACAGGACAAGAACTGAGCAGTTATCACTCTAGTCTTAACTTTTTAAGATAATTTGGCTTCCTCCAGACAATACTTGTACTTTGTCTCCGCTCTGCTCCAGCTACTTCTCTTGATGTCTCTTAGACCTCTCCCGTGGCTCAATCCCCTACTTCCTCCTCAAAGAACTTCCCTCCCCTGGTTGGCAGGAAGTCTAGCTCTATTCTCTCCCCTGCTCAGCAACTGATATATCAGGGGACATTTGGGGAACTGTTTACACCACATTTAGACAGAAGATTCTCAGAACAAAGATTGCAACCAGATATGAGGGAAGGGGTACAGAAGTCATCATTTGAATATTACAATAACCTTATGCCTACACACCAGGCAAACACAGCACAGCACCACACATGGAGCGTCATCAGAGGCAGCTGGGAAGATGGCTCAATGGGTAGCACTTGCTTTGCAAGCATTGAGGACCAAGACCCATGTTACTGCCTTGGGCACGGCAGCCCCCTGTAATTTCAGTTTTGAAAGAGACAAACGGGGTCCCTAGAGCAAGCTGCCTAGTGAGCTCTGGGTTAGATTCAGAGATCCTGTTCTTTCAGTGAGCAGGTGGAGGAATGAGTGATGATTCCTAGCATCAACCTGGACCTTCTTACGCACATGTGCACACGTCCCACACACATGGATAATTACTACAGTGAACCCCAGATCTAAACGCGCAGGCTAAAACCAAGCTCCAAAAAAGAGTGCAGGAGAGGATCTGCAGCTGTGGGATGATAGGTACTCCTGAGGAGTCCAGAGCACCAACTGTCAAAGAAAACTACTCTATCAAAATGAAGAGCTTCTCTGCACAAGCTGGCTGGCCACAGCCCCAAGCCCACTCCATCCTTCCTGTGCCACACATTGATGGCATATGCCCTGCCACACCTGGTCACAAGGAAAAGCACACTCCCTGGTAGAATCAAGCATGCCCACCACTCTCATCATCTAAATGCTGTTTGTAGCCTCAGGAGGATCTCACGTCCCTGGGCTCCCAGCCCTCCTCCTACCTTCAGCACCTTCCCTGGAATCCTGATGATATCAACTCTGACTCACATGGGTCAACCAGAATTGTTCCTGTCTCTCTATTCCACATCTTAGTCTTGTCTTCAGGTAAGGTACCAGGCCCAGGTTGGTTCCCAGACTAGAAGGTAGACAGCCTGTAGACCATGGGCAGCCCTAGTTTTTCTAGTCTGCCCTTTTCCAGCTGAAAGCAGCCACTATGCCTCCCTTTCTTCAGAGCTCTACCCCCTGAGAAAGAAGCTATAGCATCCAGAGAGCAGTCCCAAGTCCTTACATTATCCCTCAAGTCTTTCACTAAGCTATCCCTCTGCCAATGAGTCAAGCCCCACCTTGGAAACAAAGGCCTCCACTTATGTTCTGTCTGGGGTTGGTCCATAAACACACCCAGATGGCCATTACAACCCTGTCCCTGCTGCCCCATGGGTGGGTGGCCTGCCTAGAGAGATGGCTCCTATACTTAACTCTGACATGGGAAGGACTGGGATTCCATGTAAAGACAGTGCAATGAGGAGGTCATTCCCAAGGGAAGACAACACCAATGTTCCCCGGCCTGGTACTGCTGGGCTCCTGAGCTTGCTCCACAGCTTCATCTCCACCCAGTGACCTCACCCTGGTATATTTAGAGCCCTGGGTCCCCACATGCTCCTGATCCAGCAGTCCTTGCAGCAAAGAATCTGCAGAAACCCCAGTAGCCTGGCAGTACAGAGCGTCCTTGTCCTTGGACAGATACCATTCTGCTTCCAGGCAGGAGTGTGCAGAACACCTCGGGGAATCAGGTATTGGGTTGGCACATCAGAAAACACCAAGAAATGCTGAGCTATGCACAGACCAGCCATAGTGCCCATTGGGGGCTACATGGATCAACGTCTAGGGGTCCTGCTTAGGTGCTCAGTGTCCCATGGGTATGGCCTGCCTGAGGGCCACCTTATCAGTGTGGGCTTCCAGGAGACCCTGAGGGAAATGCTCTGTCTGCCTGCAGGTGTCACTCCCCTGAGGACCCCCACTTGCACACCTACAAGGCCCACACTGCTGGGGCCACACTCTGGAGCCAGTACAAGTAAAGCAGACACCACAGCAGTGGCCAGGGTAGGCTGGACAAGTGATGTGGGCTGCCAGGTAGGCTCAGGTGCCCTGCCCCTAGGTCAAAGCTATTATTAGGGCTAGTCCACTGCCACCACCTGCGTGTCAACTCACCCACTCATCTTGGAGTGCTTTTGTGACTGCCTGGGAGCTCTTAGCAGTGTTCTGAAGGGGCAGATCTGTAGCTCAGACTCCTTGTTGCAGGCCTGAGGGCTGTATAGAGCCTGCTGTTGCCAGGAACAGCCTGGGTCCTTCCTCCCTCTGAGACTCATTCCCAGTGCTCAAATATTTCCAAGCTCCCTGGCAAATGGCTTTCCCATTGGGAGAGCTCAGGTACCAGGCCCTGAGTTGTGCACTTGTTCATCAGGCTTTCTGAAGGGACACAAATCAATCTGTATCTCCTTAGGAAGCAGTATGGCCAAGCTTGCCTCCCCTCCCTTTCCCATTAGTGACAGGTTCTGCCCATTCATTTGCATTGCTGGGCACTCAGTGTGGCAGCACCTGCTTACAGTGGCTCCAGTGCCCATGGGAGGTACATTTGCAGTGGCCAGGAGGAATACTAAGAAACTGGTGGCATCCCTGTAGTGGCTATACAAACATGGGGAAAGGAAAAACCATGGGCCTAGATGTAATATGAATATTCATGATAGAGCCTTCAGGAAGAGCCTAGTAGTCAAAGGCCACTGGGTGCATGCCCTAAAGAAGGTTCTTTGTCCCACGTCCCTCTTCTTTCTGGTTGCCATGAGATGATCATGCTCTGCCACGTGTTCCCACCTCAATGTATGACAGGCAAAAATAAAAAATAAAATCAATCTTTCCTCCTGTTAAATTGATTATGCTGGGCCTTTTGTTATGATAACAGGAAGCTAACACACAGGGGCATATGCTGAGTATTATCAGGCAGGAACCTATCCCACAAGAACCAAGGGCTCAGAAAGGCCCTCACCTTCATTCCCTATTAGGCCACTGCTTGTACAGACTCATAATTTCTGCTAGGAAAACTCAGGAGCCCTGTAGCTCAACTCACTGTGAGTCTGAGGAAGAGAAAGAAGTGAGACAGACAGAAAACACCAGGTGTGCCACTGCCGAGAGCCAGACATGGCGAATGGCACCCCTCAGAAGCAGGACTATTCATTTTCTCTACTTTTATGCTTAAACTTGGCTAGAGTCTCTCTGGCTTTAGGAGACTCTGGGAGCTGGAGACAGTGAGTGGTTTCCTGCCATTGTTTCCAAGGCTCTGTGTCACTAATATGGATGGTTAGGACACCTAACTGAACTCAGGCGAAGGGAGACTCCAGGAGCACATTGGAGAACTCTGAAGGCTCTTGAGTTTCTCTGACAGACTTGAACCAAAAATTACTGCCTGTCTCCCAGGAGCTATGCACTCAGACAGCTCAACAGGGCTCAACTCCAGGCAGGACTCCTACACCCCTTCAACAGGACCAACAAGAGTCCAAATTGGGATGGTACAGCCTGGCAACTGTAGGAAGGGTTACCTACAGGTTCTTGGGTGCTACAGGCCCAGCAAGGAGGAATGGGCAAGTTGAGGGTTGAATGAGCCCTTGTTTCTGACTCAAAAGCAAAAGGATTTCAAATATTACAAATATTTTAAAAATTTCTTTTTACTTTATGTACATTGGTACTTAACTGTATATGTCTCTGTGAGGGTGTCGGGGTCCTCTGGAATGGGAGTTACAGACAGTTGTGAGCTGCTATGTGGGTGAACCTGGGTCCAGCAGCTGGTACTCTAAATGCTAACTCTCCAGACCATGAATATTACTTTTAAGTGGTACATGAGGCAAGGTGTAGGATGCCAAGGTTGGAGGGCATCTCATGGAGGGGTGTAAACCAGGCCACCTTGTCCTGTGGAGACTGCTGCCTGCCCAGCCCTGCCTCCTGCTATCCTCAGCTGAGCAACAGAAAGTAGAAGGCCATTCAGTGGCCATACCCTGGAATCAACTCATACCTCTGGCTTCTCCAGAAGACCCGAATG